CTAACATACAAAAATACACATGTATCAATGCAGATCAGAAAATCGGAATAAGCAATAGCGATAAAATTTCCGACGAGTTGGAATTCTGTGTTAAAAACTGTGTTATTTCTATTGCTATCGCTATTCCTTCCATTGTGCAAGGGGCTTAATACAATACTATATCTTTTATAGTTATAAAATAAAGTTCCGGAATTTGGAGGACACTTTAGTCTTATGTGTTTNCCATCAATAGATCCCACACAATTAGGTAGGTTCCACCGCTTCCAATATCCATCTGCGCATGTTTTCCAATGTTTCNCAGTAGGAAATTTAAGATATAGTGGTTCTAAAACTTTTATCAATACTACACTAACTTCCTTTATTATTTTTCTGACTGTAGATTCTCCAATTCGAAATGCTAAAGCTATTGATAGTGGTAAATCACCAGTAGCGAGATATCTGCAAAAAAGATAATATTATATTAAATTGCTATTCTATTATATAATATACAAACTTATTTTGATTTAAAACAAAAATTACTAATTACAATAAAAAATATCTTAAAATTTGTGAAATTAGTACCTTAACGTTATTATAAGTCTATGTTCTGGAACAAGAGCACGAGCACTATTTTTTTTTAATGCGGTGTCGTTAATTTAACAAGATTCATAAAGTGTTCAAGTGTCATTCTAGTGTAGCGATAAAACATTTCTGTATCATTTTTAAGTTGTTGAAATAAATTTTCATAATCTCCAAATTGAACTCTCCTTTGGTTAATTGGTCTAACGTGCCATCGCCTATGTAACCATCTATTTTGTTTGTTTTTACGTACAAGCAAATTATATGTACACATCCAATAAAGTACCAAGATTAAAAATTCATTTTTATTTTTCANTTTACTTTTTTATTTATTAATATTCTCTTAAAAATGTAATTGTTGTTTGTCCAAGTATCCCTAAGCATAACAATGNATCGTTGTTCTACAAAAATTTTATAACAATTTTATTATTTACTTTCGAATTACTCTTANTTAATTAAGTAATTAAACAAGATTAGTCTTAACTTATTTATCTATGATGAGGTTATATTTACTTTTGATATGTAGCATACTACAATCATTCTACGCCATACGCCAAAGCTTGTGCGTTAACTTACGTCTAAGACTTACGTCTGTCGTAAGACATTACGCCATGTTATGTGCTATGGCCCTAAATCTTCGGCCACAACTTAACTTAACCTACGCTTGCGTATCAATAAATAGGTGAAATGAATATTCCGCAATTGCATGCATTGATGACTGTTGTTTGTCAGATTTCCCTCAAACTCCAACGTAAGGCAGCAGTGGATAAATGCAATATACAAGTTAAATCATCAAGAACTTGCTCCACAGTTGCCAAAATATGCAAAAATTTGTCTTCGACATTTCGACAGTGCTTCTATAGAACAATTCGGTTTTACTCAAATACGATTAAAACCGAATTCTGTGCCGTCAATATTTCCAAATACATCGGATAAAGAAAGATATATGTAACTAAAATACAGATTGAGTGGAAATGGTACTTATTAAGACAGATATATGTATGGCTGTATGGAGCGGACACGGATGTCGATGTGTGAGTTCAAAATTTAGTTTATTTCGATAAACTGTACAGTACAAAGCTTTCGACCTTTGGTTTAGGTCTTTCTCAATGTAATACTACAAAAATGTTAACAATAATAAATAGTACGTAATAAAAAGAAAATTGTAATAGTAAGGCTTACCAAAAAACTTACATTATACTCGCAAAAAAGAAGAAGAAATAGTGACGGTCGTCGTTAAGTGGTGATTAGCAGTCAGATAGTGAGACTACAGGTTCGACCATCACTTTACAATATAAAGAAGCAACTGAAAAGGGCTGAGATTCAAAACGAAAATCAACGCAACGATATTCGATCATGTGACGCCATTCAAACACATATATTATCGACAAATGGTAAGTAAGATCTATCAAGACTTTCGGTGTCGCTATGTAAATTCAAACCATGTCTTTGCTTTCTTATATACAGGGTCTCCGAAATTAAACGCTTGTTGTAAGATCTCTCATTATCCAAAATTTTTACATGATCCCAATCAAAATCGTGAGAGAAATGGATTTTGTGGTCCGTGATCACAGATCTCTGAGACGAATTTCTGTTGATATGATACTTATGTTCTTTTATTCTAATTTGTAGCATTCTGCCCGTCTGACCGACATAAGAAGCGTCGCAATCGCGGCAGTTAATTTAATATACAACAGAAGGACGTGAGGAATAGGGTAGAGGATCTTTAAGAACGTTAATAAATTTTGACAATTTGTCAGTACAATAAAAAGCTGAACGTGTGTTAGAGTCTTTAGGAAATGCTGTTAAATATTTATCTGAGAAATTATTAATATAAGGTATCACAAACCAGTGAGGCTGTGCACTGTTCTCCGTATCGTCCAGAAGGAACTTCTTAGAGTTGTTATTTATAAAAAAATTGCGTTTTAGTCGTTGTTTAAAAGTGTTGTAAATAAAGTCAAATGGATAGTTATTGTCAATTAAAATGTTAAAAACGATGTCAAAATTTTTTGAGTGAAAAGTCGAGTGTGATAAAAAGAAAACTCTGTCAACGAGACTTATGACCGTGCCTCTTTTTTGGCTGATAGGGTGATTTGAAAAATAATTTAGATATCTGCCTGAAAATGTAGGCTTGTGATACCAATCATGAATTAGTTATTAGTTTATTATCTTTCTTTATGGTAGTGATGTCTAAAAAGTTCAGCCTGTCAAGACCAACTTCTATGGTAAATTGCAGTCGAGAGTGGTATGAATTGTAATATGTAAGAACTACGTCAAATTGATCCTTCGGAACCATGAGAGCTATATCATCAACGTATCTAATGTGTAAAGGTGGAGTAAAAGGTAGCATGTTGATAATGGACGATTCTTGCATAACAATGTCTGCTAGGATGGGAGAGAGAGGAGAGCCCATAGGTGCACCAAAGGTCTGTTTATAAAATTTACTATTGAATTGGAAAAATGAAGAATTAAAAACAAAATTGAGAGCTATAAAAAATTCCTCCTTAGGCAAGCTAGTGTTATTGCTTATCAAATGCCATCGTTTCTCTAAACCTTTGATTGCAAGATCTAGTGGAATGTTGGTGAACAGAGATATAAAATCAAGCGAGATTAACTCAAAAGATTCATCAAAGGTCACTTGGGAGATTCGATTGGCAAGGTGAAAACTATTGTAAACAAAACTCGAAGAAGGAACAATGCTTTTTGAAATAATTTTATGCAATAATATTGCTAAATTATGTAGCGGGCTATTAACAGAAGAGATAATAATTCTGAGAGGATTGCCTGGTTTGTGGATCTTAGGGACACCATAGGCTCTAGAAAGGATGGTGATGGAAGTGTTCAGATTTTTGTAAGTGAGTTCGAGATATGATCGCGAGACTTCCATCTATTTAAAATGTTCTTGAGAGATCTTACAGAATTAATAGGATTGTTTTTGACTGGTGCGTATGTATTGATGTCCGATAATGTGTTTTCCATTTGCTGCGTGTATAAATCTCTATCCATCGCAACAACCACATTGCCCTTATCTGCTTTTGTGAAAACAGTAGAAGGATGATTTTTTATAAATTGTAAAGTAGATTTAAGAGCTAGTTTTACTTCTTTATCATGGTGATTTAATAAATTTAGTGGTTTTCATCTGGTGTAAGATAGAGACAAACCGACTACGACATTCAGTTTTTTTATTATCATGAAGATGTTTGATGTTCTCAAAATTTTTAATAAATTCAATAATTAATTTAGAATTGTTTTCCGGCTGTAAACTAAAATTTGGCCTAGTTGTAAAAGGCCAGTGACTTCATCAGGAATGTAAGTGTTGGAAAGGTTAACAAACCAATTTTTTCTGTGTTCAAGTAATGTTCTGATATGTGTATTGTGAGGAGATATATCTATTGTAGATGTAAATTTGTTATTGATAGGTGGATCAAAGGAAAACTGATATTGAGAGTGAGTGAAAAAACTGTTTGAACGTGGAGTAGAATGTTTTTGAGGTGGAATGTTACGAGGAGTAACAAAATATCTAAGTCTTTTATGAGAAATCTTCATGATCGATCTATCTCTAAGCCATAAAAGTTTATTAGTCATCCTTCTACGTTCATATGAATGAAATTTATTCAGTTTTTTTAATTGCGTGATAAAAAATACATTATATACTCGAAATGGTAAAGTTCTTATAATTGTATTATTGATTTTATTGATTTTACTAATGGTGAGTTTGCGGTATTTATGAAGGTCGATTATTTCAAGTCGCAATATGTCGCTCGCTTGTTGTCAAAAACACATCTCTGTTTATGATTGTGAAAGATGACTTGCGGGAAGCAACAAGAACGGTAATTTAAATGTTGTGGTAACAGATCTTCATTTTTGCAAGAAGAAAGAAACTTAATTCGATTGTGTATTTTGACAAGGATTCTGTTAAGTTTAATCCAACTTTTTAAATTATTAACTATAGATGTTCCAAAATGTATATGTATGGACTTAAAGGTCCAGTGATGGAAATTTCGCATTCTTCCGCCAACGATAATTGATAAATAATAAAGTTTGAAATAATCAGCTCCAGAAATTCTTATTAAGACAGATATATGTATGGCTGTATGGAGCGGACACAGATGTCGATGTGTGAGTTCAAAATTTAGTTTATTTCGATAAACTGTACAGTACAAAGCTTTCGACCTTTGGTTTAGGTCTTTCTCAATGTAATACTACAAAAATGTTAACAATAATAAATAGTACGCAATAAAAAGAAAATTGTAATAGTACATTCATAAATAGCAAATAATTTGTATTGTTTATTTTCAGTGCGGATAAAGAATCTTCTTCAAAGGTAGCTCGTATCAAGATGGAATCAATTATGGACTTGTGCGATACGATGCAAACCCAAGACAACAGAGTTGTTTATGACTCAAGGTAAGGTCAAATGCAAACTTATTTGTAATGATGATTACATTTCTAATAATTAAAAGTATCGAATAAAGCATTTTAAAATATGAAAGATAGCAAACATAGTTGAAGTAGCAATGACATTCATAAACAGCATGTAAATTATATTGTATATTTTCAGTGCGGATAAAGAATTTTCTGTCGAAAATGTAACGACAATGCACCCTGTGCAGGAAGAAAGCAACAGAGTGGTTTATAACTCAAGGTTAGAGAATATGCATTGTTAACTACTATAATTACATACTTATCTATTCTAAAGATTCTCCTGAAATGGCATCTAAGTGTTTTGTCAAAATAGTGTGCGATTATATAACTTTTTAATATTTACAGCAACGATACCATTATCGACATGGAACCTGACTGTGCTTCGGCAGGAACTTCTAAACCGTTAAAATATCCAGCTCAAATCACAGAAGAGAATATACTGACCATGTCGCCAAAATCGATAGTCCAATGTGTACGTATATTGAAAGACACTTGCGAGAAAAAAACACGTGCAATCAAACGACTGCAAAAACATCAACATCGACAAAAAAAGAAGATCGAAAGTTTACAAGCGTTATTGTCTGAATTATCAAAATGCGAGCTTCTTTCTTCCAATGCATCGGAAATGGTAACGGTATGGTTTTAACATACAACTAACAAGGAGACCCCATAGTCTACCTACCGATTTTAATCTTCTTGCACATGATGAATCTGCATTGAAAATAAATAAGTTGATCTCTGTCCGAGCGTTTCGTCCAATGCGTCTTGTAAGTGATTATATTTTATGCTTGAAAAGATTCCGCACGGACACGAATCAACTTATTTTCAACGTAGATTTACCATGTGCAAGGAAATTAAACTCGATGAGTAGTCAACTGTGGTGTTTCCTTGTAAGATAACACAACTAAATAGGCAATTGGGTAAATTTTACTCGAATATGATCGATTCAGATGAAAAACACGTATTATAAGGTTAAATATAAAATATATAAATTGGAATTGTAAATAATATTTAATTGTACATAGGATCATATACCCTGATAGCCAAGCATGTTTTGCAAAATGATGTAACTTAATGCTGAGCTGAAGTTTTCAACTAGTTGCTGTGTATTTGCTGAAAATATGATGCATAGTCATACGTAATCGACAACACGAAGGCAAATTTGAAACATTTTGTGNTGCATAGTCATACGTAATCGACAACACGAAGGCAAATTTGAAACATTTTGTGTCAGCAGATTCAGAGCAAACGAAGAGCAACTATTGCTCATTACGTTGTCAACAAAATGACTTTTATTTATAGAAAACTCTTTGCTTTGTCATTCGTTTTCGGCAACATAAGAGCAATATGACGGCAACAAAACAAGACACCGATGTCTGTACTTCTGTCATATAGTTGGTAAAAACTGTTGACATATATTTATTCTATCTTGTAGCCCATTAAATGTCGAAAACGAATAACTATCTTTTAGAATAAAAGTAGACAAAAAAAGAAGTAGACAAAAATAATTATATTTTAGTAAGGAACAAGCGGTCTCGCGGACTGAGTGCAGGGAGTTGCAAATATGAAGGTCTCGAGTTCAAATTCCCCACCCATCATCTTAGGATTATTTCCGGATCCCGGTATCTTTCATCAAGTTAATCAGTTGATCGGCGAACTAAATCACATCTCCAAAGATTAATTTGAGTGAAACTCGAATTAATTAATTTCCCTTTCACAAATTCCATGGAACCCAGTGGTACCCATAGACTTATATAATAGACGGAACATTCGTGTAAGAGGAGCTGACGCTCTATTAAAAGAGACAGAAATAGTCGTGGAGTAATTCTCTTCTTTTCTAGCAGTGAGTTGATTGGTGGCCGCGGCAGGCCGAGGGAATGGCCGAGAGCAATGAAGATAGACGTCCGAGAGTCAATTGAGAGAGAGTGATAGTGAGAGGTGAGAGCATGCATGTAGCATGCATAGACTTGAGCACACAAGTCAAAAGTAATAGCCTTTTACGTCTAAGGCCTGGTTTATGCGGGCAATAACTGTTAACTTATGCCGGAACCGGTAGAGTTTAACTATAGGATTCCAATACTTCTGTTTATACGCATTCGGCAATTTCGTATAAACAGAAGTATTAAAATCATATAGTTAAACTTTACCGGTTCCGGCATAAGTTAACAGTTATTGCTCGCATAAACCAGGCCTAAGCATAGACTTATATGTCTATGTGGGGGACCTTAAAGTGATTGGTCCCCCACCATCTTATTGTAAGAAAGAGAGACAACTACTCCAGCACTATCTTTGTTCTTTAATGTTGTTCGCAACTTCGTCATATAAATGTTCCGTCTATTATATAAGTCTATGGTGGTACCAGCATTTGTGGCGCTCTCTGAAATAATGCGTTGATAAAATGGAACTAAATTCCAACATGGCGTCCAGTGTTACACACACACACACCACACACATATATACGCATCTAGATTATTACACTATTTTATTATATTATTTTTGCTTTAACTAAAAAACGATAGACAAAAATTTTTCTTTATTGTCATAATTTATTAGAATATACACAAATATACATATTATAAAATATATGTAATATAAATATTATAAATATAATATGTATAATATAAATGTCAACATTTTACTGTTTTGTTTTTCTTAGAATATTTCAGAGACATTGTTTTAGCTTGAGTATATATAAAATTAACATCGCATTCTTCTTGTATTTTACCAGTTAATATGTTATTAATACATTTGCATCATTGTACAATAAATTCTTTTGCAGTTACTTCTACCCTGACAAAAATGAGAAGTTTTATAAGCGTTTATTTGACGTTTTTATGAGCGTTTTACGGAAATTCGTTGAAAGTTTTGAAACTGTCAGTAGAGAATTCATAGGGCGGAAATTGCAACGGTACAGCGTTTGAAAGGCGTTTGTATAAAGCGTTTCTGAAAGTTTACATATGTAGTGTTTACGTTAAGCGTGAGACAAAACAAAATAGTTTATTGAGTTAAATACATCTGAAAATTCAATAAAAGAATTTTTCGCGACTCGCGCTTTTACACATCTAAGAAATTTCACTTGAATTTAATTTTTTTGGAAGCCCGGTTTAGCTCGCCAATCAACTGATAAATTCCATTAAAAGAGATCGGACCTGAAAAAATCCTACGATGATGCGGAGGATTCAAACTCGAGACGCCTCCGTCGTATTCGCAGCACCTGCACTCAGTCCGCAAGACTACTTGTTTCTTAATAAAATGTGATTATTTTTATCTACTTATTCTCAAGCTATCTTACACAGTTCATTTATTATTTCTTTAAAATATTATTTTATTAAAAATATTGCAGTGCAATGTACCTGCAATGAGTAAAAATATTTCTTTCTCTTATTATTATTAA